ATAATAATACGCCTAAGTTATTATTATTATTATTATTGTTTAGTAATTACTTATACATAACATGCTTGATGTTTCCATTTTTGCCTATCTGTATTTGTTAATTATTTGTGCATAATAAATGTTTTCTTTTTGTCTAATATCCAAATAATTACTTGTGCATGATGTGTAAACTTGGTGATCACCTATAATTCCATATTTTAAAATTAAAATAAACTTTTAAACAAATCAATTTTAATGTTCATTTTTTTTCTAACTATTCTTGATTTCTGATAAGCAAAATGATTTGAGGAATAAAACTGTTCACCGTTATCCGATTCAGGTTTTATTTTCATAATACTAAGCAGTAATATTAAGCCTTCCTTATCACAAGATTCCCGACATAAAAATATAAATGCTTTGTTGGAAACATTTCTAATAAACAATTTTTTTTAACTTTCATTCCATTTTTTTTCAGTTAGTAATTAGAGAGATTTTTTTAAAAAAAAAAAAAAAGAAAATGACATTTCTAAATGAATGCATTAAATGGTAATTCAATGTTTTTTATAAAAAATGCTAACTTCAAATTTTTTGTTCCAAGTTTTGGTTTTCACAGACGCGTAAAATTAAAAAAAGAGAATGGCATAGTGATAAGGTGATAAGGTGATAAGGTCTCCACCTATTTCTCGACACTATCTCATTACAGTTTATATCAATAAATGTTCGTAAAAAATTTTTAATTATCAATCATAATGCATTTCATGACTTCTATGGCAGACATTATGAATAACTAAGGAAATGAAAAGCAAATTAACTGAATTTCGAAATCACAAGTGACATTGTGTAGACTGATAATTAAATTTGCATTCAACTGATAACTGATATAGGCATTTAAATTTTTTTTTCAAAATTACTACAATTTTTGAGGAATATTTTCAATAAATTCAATATAACGCTACTCTTTTTTTTCTTTGATCGTTTTTTTTTCTTTTTTATGAGTAAAAAAATTTAGCAAATAATCATTTCATCATATTTTATCATTTAATATTGCCGAATATATTAATTACATTATCACATTAAACGTTGGCTTATCATTCTTTCGTTTTTTTTTTTTCTTGCTTCACATCATTCTGAGATAAACATAGAAAAAGTACTGGTTAACACGCGGGAATATATAGACTGAATGAGCGGGGGAGCGGGGATAGGAGAAAAAAAAAGCAGGAAAATAAAGTGAAAGAAATTTAATCACACAATACGAATCATATTAACATTGCATTTTTTGAATAATGATAAAAATAATAATGATAATAATAATAGTAATAAAAATAATAATAATAAAGGAAAGACTGAAAGGAAAAGATAAAGTGATAATACGTAATCAATGCACAGTGAAAGAATTGAGCAGAATTATGCAATTTCCATTTCTCTTTGCCTTTTTTTTTTTTTCTTTTTCTTTACGTCAATTACGTCGATTGTTAAGATGACAATATTAGAATGGACATACGTGTACGTTTGCGAAATTTACGTCTGAACAAATAAATAATGCATGAATAAGTGAACGAATAAATATGATAAAAATGATATGATAATTCTGAGGCATTACATTGCTTCCAACATATTAATTGAAGAATGGTAAAAAAATTTGATTAAAAACTAAAGATGCCAGAATGATTTTATACAAACGAATACTATGACTATCATTTATAAGAAGTAATAAGTCATTTTCACAACTTTCATAAAATTTGCACAAATTTCTGCTTTTTTTCGAATAAAATTCAAAGTTTGTTTGTTGAATTTCAAATATGAAAATGAAAATTGAAAAATTGAAAAAAAATAAAAAGAACCCGCAAAAGCTTCATAGAAATTGCTTGTTTAAAGAAAAAAAAAAAGAGAAAAAAGGAATGCGAACAATTATCAACTCGAACAAATATTAAATTTATTATTTATTTTATCCGTTTCCTGTCCATTCATTTCCGGTTTTTCTAGCTTGCATTCCTGTATTTTTCCTGTTTCCGTTTTTTTTCTACTTTTCTTTTCGTTTTTTTTTTCAGTTGGATATTAAAAAAATACTGAATAATTACACTATCATTACTAAATTCATGCATCGGTAATTATTTCTGGTTCATTAAAATGTATATCATTTGGTATCAAGCAATTTGACCGATTCATTTAACCAATTCATAATTGCATTAATTGCAGCTAATACAGCAGGTGAACCAAATCCATGAGTAACCTGAAAATGAATCTAATTGTAAACATCCCATTATATGTAATTAGTACTAACAAAAAAAAAAAACGAAAATCTATCAATGTAAGAATGACATCATAACATGATATTGCAAGATATTATAAAAAAAATTTTAAATAACAATCATTATTACTTTTTACTATTATTACTATTATTATTTACCATTATTATTGTTTGTTATTATTATTATTATTATTATTAATTACTAATTTTGTTATTATTGTTATTATTATTATTGTTATCACTAGTGTTATTATTGCTGTTATTAATAGTATTATTATTATTGTTATTGTTATTCTGATTATTTATTATCATCATCAAGTACATTCATCATTCGCATTATAAAACACAGATTTGAAATAATATTATTTAAATAAATTTTATTTTTTTTAAGGAGAAAAAAAATAATTATAATAATAACATTGATCATTTTACTTGATAATGTAAAAGTGATATGGTTTAAAGTATGCTCAAGAAATATCGAAGGATTGTTGAATAAAATAATTGAGTTTTAATTAGTGATGTATTTTGCAGTGAAGTTAAGTTCCCTAAATTAGCTGAAACAAATTGGAACCAATTACTCAAATACTAATGTATTAAAATAATTGCAATTTGAATAAAAATTAATAATTAAAATCAAACGAAATTCCAACTAAAAGAATGACTAATTGAGATATGATTTTTTCTTTTTTAAATGAAACAAATTTACGATCAAACAAATTGGTTCATTAAAATAAAAATTTGGATAGAATTAGCAATGAATTTGAAAACGAAAAAAAAAAACAGACATGGAAAAATTAGCTTAATGTAATTTTGCAACCATTTTGATAGCATATTTCTAAAATTATTTTTTTAACATTACTTGCTTCAAATTCGAGCAATTTATATTAATGAAATTAATTAATTGTTCCAAGTGATTACGCAATTAATTATCGCGAATAATTAGCAAAGAATAAAAACGCTTAAAATCTCACCCTCATAATTCCTCACCTTCTTCAGCTTCTATCATTTTTATCATCTTAAGAAAAATTTCGAAATCCTCTCCATTTACATCCTTTCACAATTCTCGCTCACCTCCTGCTTTTCATCATCTTCCTCTTCCTCCTCTTCCTCTTCCTCCTTCTCCTCCTCTTTCTCCTCCTCTTCCTCCTTCTCCTCCTCCTCCCCAATTATTTATATCATGGCCTAATTAAAATTCAACATTGTATAAATAAAATTAATTGAACAATGACAATCATTAGAAATAATTAAATTATATTCAAAATAAAGGAAGAAGAGCAAATATACTAATTAATTAATTAATTAACAGAACCATTGAGAAATGTGTTAATCGACTTTGCACAATTGGTTCCAAGATTGGTTGTGGTCTTGATGAACATATTGGACTTCGATCATTACTTAATAATTCTTTTAATTCAGCTAATGTTGCTTTTGTTGCTAATAGCATATTCTTTCGTCGTTGCATATCCAATGGTTCCATTGAACAATTTGCGCGTGTCAAATGTTCAGCAATTGTACGAGCGGGAAATTCATTCTCGCAAACAGCATTGAAATCTTTTGCCAAATGCATTGCTTCAACTGTAGAAAATGAACATTTCATTTTTATTTTATACAAAAAATTTTTCATTAATTAATTTAAATTAAAGAAAAGTAATTAAAAGTAACTTAAATCGAAGAAAAATAATCAAAAGTAAGTTAAATCGAAGAAAAATCAAAAGTATTAAAGAAAAACAATTCAAAGGTAACTTAAATCAAAGTAAAAGTAATTAAAAAAACTTAAATCAAAAAAAACTAAAAGTAATTGCTTTCTCTTTAAAAAAAAAAAAAGAAAATGAAAAGTAACAAATTGTCATTCTTAAATATAATGAATATGTATGCAAAAGTTATCAACTCATTATATAACTTATTATCTTGTTTTATCACTACAGTAGTTTTAAGCATATATTATAGAATGGCAAAATTACTGTATTAAATATGATCACAAACTAAACCCTAAATTGAATTTTTAAAGCTAAAACAGTAATAATTTACCATTGGTTGATGTAATTTTATGCAAAAATTTTTGCTTGCAATATGATCTGTGATTTAAAGCAATAGATATCAAAAAGATAGCATGATAAGAATATGATAACGGTATGATAGATAAAAGCTTATACTGTAGCTCGTTTGTTGGCAAAATGATAATCATAGCTTTCATTTGTCATATTTGCATAAAGTTACACAATGATAAATAAAGGGAAATCGGAGAATTATTTTGAATTTATTCGAAAAATTGAAAAAACTATGAAATGAAAGAAAAAAGCGAAAAAAAGGAAAAACTATGAAAAAATATATAAATAATACTATGAAATTTAATCAAATATTGACCTTAACTTTTTCTTTTTTAAATAATTAAAAACAAATTTTCAAATTATATTTTATAAAAATAGATTTAATAAACTAACATTCAACAAGAGCTGTAAGCGAATTAACATTTGTAGCTTTCCGTCTTCCGGCTGGTAACTGTAAACCAACACGTTTCAATTGATCACGTAATGATTTACCGCCATCTTTAGATTTTGCTCTAAAACATATAATAATCTCATTTTTCCCAATTTTACACAAACAATATTACTAAAATATTTAATAATTAACTTAATTGTTAAGCGTAAAATTAAATTGGAATTTAAATTAAAATTAAAATTAGAGAAGAAACAAACAACACAACATTAATGTTGATATGATTTAAATGTTTTATTTATTTAAATATTTTATTAAAATTATAAAATAATTAAAGTAACAATGCAGAGAAGGAGAAAGAGAGAGAAGGAGGGAGAAAGGAAGAGAAAGAGAGAGAAAGGGAGAGAGAGAGGAGGGAT